TTGTTTGTCATTTCTCCGATCACAAATGCAGACATGGTTTTATGTTTACGCGGCGCGATGCAACGCATAAAAAGACAGTATAAGTCATTATAATCCGTAATTATGTCCCCAATGGATGCAACAAATACCTTGTTTATAATGGTTTTTAATGTTTTTGTCTCGTTGCTCCGGCCGGACAAGGCATCACAATATGGTAAGGGCGTAAAATTTACGTCACCCGCTTGAGGTATTCGGCCAATCACAACGCACTGGATAGCTGGCCAATCAGAGCTCACCTCACTTTTCAGACCGATGAGCTTTGTAAAAATCGACGCGTTTCAGAAGGCGTGGGCATAGAGGAGAAAAAAATAATGTACAGTACGTGAAAAATCATGTGTTTTTTTTAACCTTAAACCGCATAAACACATTTCATTACACCAAATACACAAAATAATGTTCTTTTTAGCAGCATCATATGACCCCTTTAAAGAAACACTGGTGTTGTGCTTTTAGAGTAATGACACCACACTAAATGGAGAGCAATCAGGTTCCTCAAGCACACTTCCAGGCTACTTACAAGTATATAAAAAAATAACACAGCTTGTCTTGGGAAATGGCAGGGATGCAGCAAAGTTTTACATTGGGCATAAAACAACAAATGGACACTATAAAACACAAAAAACTCAAACGCTGTCATTTTACTTACATCCTCAGCCTTAGACTTGTGCAGAACGTATCCTTTCTTCCAATCGGCTCCCTCATTGGCCTTACGAATGTTGAATTCCACTTTGGCTCTCTCTTTACTCTGCTGGGCTTTCCATTCATCCAGAGTCATCTCCTTAGCACCATCTTCTTTAACCTCCTCAACCTCATTCTCCCTGTGGAAACATCAACATCAAAATTGAGCTAAAAGTGCTGCATCCAATTAGTTCAATCCTAATTAATTAAGAAGCACTACAATTAAGAAGGGACCTTCAGTAACTGTTAAAGATTGTAAACATGTTGTGCTTTTAATAGAGCCATTGTTTTTGAATCAATCCTAATGTTACACACTACGTTTTTGTTTAATTATAGGTGGGAACTTATTCTAATAGTGCCGGCATCAAATGGCAAGCAATGACTCCGCTAGGGCTGCACGATATATCGTTTCAGCATCGAAATCGCGATGTGCGACGTTTAGTATACTGATCGTTATTCCGTATGGACAGGTACAGGGTTCGAAACGCAGGTGATTATTGGATTAATTGCAAAGTTTAGCCATCATACAATAAAGGTTCATCATTTGCATGTGTTTTAGGTCCTGTCGGTTTAATCTTTCAAGCTATTTTAAACCATTTGAGTACGAGAAGGTACGAAATAGAGCTCAATTATGAACAAACGCACTGTTTTCTTTGCTCACACAAAGACACCGTGTCTACACTGGACGCGACAAAGCGACCTTTGCAAATCATTTGAACTTTGTGTCAGTACGTCATAAATAGAACGCGGCATCAGTTTACTGTCGGGGATTTGTCGTGTCGCGCCGCATCCAGTGTAGACAGCATCACTGATTATATTGGGTTCTAGCCTATAGTATTTTGTCGCGCCGTGCCAGGCCACTCGTGTCCGGTGTAGACACGGTGAGAGCAGCGCAGATGCATGTGAACACTGAATTCACTTCCGCGTCTATTTGTGCCTGAAATGACACATACCGTTTACTGTCAAAATGCATGTCTCTACAAGTATCCTTGTAAACACAGTTGCTTATGGCTTAGGTGAAGGTAAACAATTGAGAAAGAAAATGGTTGTGTAACAGTATATTGGTTCACAGCAGTTTAATGTTCCTGTTGCTTTCGGTGTCATGTTAATCAAACAACAAAACGCAGAAAAAAATCACTTTTGTAGCTTTAACACAGATTTATTAGATTTAATTTATATAGTGAAGACTATGCGGTGTTATTTTACATTTGATTATTTAATTTCTGTACCTGCATACTGTTAAGACTTACCTAAAAAATATAAAGCACCGTTTATTTTATTTGTATCTTTGTTCTATTATATTTATCTATGCTTGTAATTTGTTTATTTTCTATGCTGATTTACTCGCCTACAAAATCACCTACAAATAATCATTATTTATTTTCCAAATAGATCTCTTAGATCAGGGCTGTCCAAACTCGGTCCTGGAGGGCCGGTGTCCTGCAGAGTTTAGCTCCAACCCTAATTAAACAC